CAGTGTACTGTCCTTCCTCCATAATCTCACGTAAGAACGGAGGAAAATCTCTAGCCGCCACACGGTCAGCACTCGCTTCCTCACCACCAATGTTGATGTTGGTGATCTTGTTCCTCTTCTTAAACCTATGCAGCCAACCAGAGGAAGCATTGAAGGGTTTGGGCTCTGCAATTCCCAGCTTACGTGACACTGCTGCGTATAGCTCACGTGCGTACTCCTGCACTGAGCGCGTGTCCACCGCCATGTTGCGTCGCGCCTGACGAACCAAATAACTCACCAGCAAATTTTCCACTTTTGCCAGCACCCTGTTCTGGCAATACCTGATAGATGAAGCACCTGCAGACTTTGTGATTTTCATGTGCTCTTTGATCTTGGCTGCATCCTTCTTGATCGTGCGAAATGTAGATTCTTTGACGCCATGCTGGCGCGCGAGATCAACTTGCCGTGTTCCTTTCTCCAAATCTTGAACAATTTGGTACTTCACCTCGTAGCTTAAGGAACGTCGTGTCTTCTTTGGCTTAGTGCCGCTGGGTCCAGGTAAGGAAAGGTCTCTCTCTGGTGGCGGTGGTGGTCCAGCGGAAGCCATTTTACGGAACAATGGATGCGCGTTTACACGGTGTGGCCTTGAGGGATGAAACTGCCGTGGCTAGGTCAAGCATCGTCTCTCCTCCCTCCCTCCCTCCCTCCCCGGGGTGGTCACGTCATAATACTTTAAGCCAATTCCAGCTAGCAGCAGAGGGGGGTAGGGATGCATGGCCAATCACAGTCCGATACGTCATATGACGTCAGTGATAACGCAACAAAGACACACACTGCACAACCTTACCGCGCCACTTGCCCAAGCGGAGGGAGGAGGAGGGAGAGGCAGGCAGGCAGGCGGGCGGGTGGCGCGTGGGGCAAATCTAAAAATAGCGTCTCGAGCCGGACACTCACTGCGTATATGATGAAAAAATCCGTGTTAAGTGAAAGTTCAGCTCTGGCGAGGCACCGCGTATATGATAAAACGCGCTAAGTGAAACCTCGTTAGGCGGGGTAATAATGTGTGTGTATATATATATATATATATATATATATATATATATATATATATATATATATATATATATATATATATATATATATATATATATATATATATATATATATATATATATATATTAGGGTGTCATACGGAGGCGAATTTTTTTTTTGAGTTTAGAAAATCGGCCCATGGTATTAATGATGTAGTTCTATGTGCAGAATCATGTGATATCTTCAGATTTGAAAAGTTTTCATTTTTTGCTAGGTAAATTTTAACTTGAAATCTTATGAAAATTGAGTATTCCCACCCTTTTACCAACACCACTAAATAGCTTATTTAAAGTAAAGTAAATGTATCAGGTTAATTTATTAGGATGAAAATGATCCAGAATAGTGAAACGAATGATCTTGACACATTTATTAAATTTAATATTCCTTTAGAAAACAAAATCATCAAATACAAAAACGGTTTTACTACTACGACCCGGTGTTGCTGCACACCATAGAGAACATGTCTTTCTTGCTTCTGTTTCTACTCATCACCTCCCTGCTGACCACCTGAGCTCGGATGTAGCCTTCCCTCCTCTCCTGGCTGTACACGTAACTGCTGGCCTCGCTCACTTGCTGTACACAACGCTCTATACTCTGGGTGTGCGAGGGCCAGGCAGGGACATACATGGGGTTGTCCAGGAAAGCTCTGACTTGAACATTGGTGAGGCTGCAGGTAAGAGGGGGCTCACTGCCAGCCTGGATGTTATCCAGATCAATGAGATCAGTGAGGGTCTTGGCACCTAGATTGACTTCAGGAGTCTTCCTGACCCTGAAGGAATCGTCACCAACTGATTCGTCATGCCCAGATCCTCTCATAAGTCTCATATCCAAGATCTTTTTGACTGCCAATCTTCTCTCCTCCTCATCCTTACTGCAGAGCATTGCCTGCAGAACTGCCTCGAACTGCCTCGGGATGAGCATACCAGGAAGATCTCCTCACAGTCTGCTCCACAATCTGAACAACCTTCCTTGGCTGACTCCTCAGGAGCTCAAGCTGGAAGAGAACATGCCTCTGACCTTCGGAGAACGATGACTTGACCTTGGTGTTGAACCAATTTGGCAAGTAGACACTCACGATGAATTGGACAAATAAGTCTCAGGTTGTGAAGCTGGTTCCCTTTCAGTTTATGATGAGCGACCCAAATTCTGCAGAACCTGAGAGCCGTTGTGAGCCACCTAGAATGTGAGACTGGACCTATCTGCAGGTAAGCAAGTCTATCAGGCATGACCCCAGTTTTGATGGCACTGCAAATCATGTAACCATAGTACTGGTCAGTACTCAGGTCGCCAATGACAGTATGTGCAAGCTCAATGAGTGGAGGGCCAACTGTGATTTTTTCAAAGCTCGGATTTATTTCTAACTCAGTGGCAGAGTCCAGCATCTTGCCAAGAGGACCAGACCATCTGTTGTTTGATAGAGTCTTGCCATCCAGCTCCTGGATCAGATGTCTGAGTGGCAACTCGTTGGTGTGGAGGTCACAAACAATCCAGACCAGCTTCCTCCCAATCTTCCGCTCTATCCACTGTATGACCCCCCTTGCCACCCTGTGTTCGTGTTGGTGTCCCTCCAATGGCCTGCAGGGTCTGGTCTACGCTCTCTCTCTCTGGAGCCAGTTCACAATGTTATCTGCCACTATCTCAGCTGGTTTCTGGATGTCATCTTTTCTTCGGGAGGAATGCCACAAATACTCCCTCCTGGTCTGCTGCAGCAGGAGTAGTGTTCCTCCTTCACCATGGCAGGGAACAACTGTCAGAATCTCCAACTTTCATGAACACTTAGTGTCATCCCTTCTCCCATCAAAGAACAAACAATTGATTCCATTTTCTTATCCCCATCAAACTCCTCTTCTAGGTTACTGACAAGTTTCTCCTGAGCTCTTACTTTGTTATGAGATCTTATCACCAGGTGAACATCATCAGGTGTTATCAAACCACCGTCAATCCAGGCAGCTGTTGCTATCTCTGGCAGTTTCTCTGAGACCAGTGTGGTGTCGCGATGCTGGCCAGGAGCTATGCTCGATATCTTTCCTATTTCGAATCTTATGCCTGGAAGGTTTGGGGATCATTATTTTCGGGTTAGGGACAAAGTCACCATTCTCCTGGTCAGCACTCGACTGTAGCCATGGGGAAGCTTGGCTAACTCTGAATCAGCTTGACTCCAATCATCGGCCTTTTTTACCTCACCCTGGGCCTTCTCAAGTCTCTTTTCCTTGGCAACTCTTCTCCTCTTCTGTCTCTCTGTGGCAGCCTCCTGTCTCTTGGACTCCGGAATATCTTGGCTAGAAATCATGAGAGCCCCTATACTGCCAGTCTTCTCTCTCTGTGCTTTGACAAATGCCAGTTCCATCACAGGAATCTTCAGTTCATGCTTGCAAATACAGGAGATGTCGGCCTCGGATTTACAGTCACGATCGCATCCAAACTCAGGACAGAGAACAATTGGGCACTTCCAAGTAATTATGTCAAATAACTGGTCCAGTTGCTTGGCAAAGCTGTCCTTAACTGCAAGTTTTCCTCTCCCAAGAGAGATATCTCTTGCCTTTTCCCAACTGGCTAGCAGTCTCTCACCAATCTTCTTCTGACTTGTTATGACTGGAGGCTGAACTGAGCTGCTAGCTAGAGTAAAATGTGCCAAGACAGCTTTGGTCATATTCACTGGCAATGCTCCTTGTTTGTGTAAGTTCTTTGGTTCTTTTCACTGATTTGCCTGATTAAAACACCGTATCTCAAAGCATCTCTCAATGTAGGTAACTCCGACTTCAGGAGCTCTCTCCCAGACCCAAGATAGTGACTGAGATGGCTGGATTTTTGGTTCCTCGTCCTGACACAAGCAGCCATCGCGAATATTATCAACTTATAAATGCATCAGAATCTGAAACAGAAAAAAATATTGTTAGTTGGGTTGTTAAAGAATGAAGTCAGAAAGCAATGTTCACTATTTAATTGTAATGCACTAATGCAGCTGTACGTTAGATTTTCGATAAATTTCACGCTAAAACTTACCTTGCAAAAGGTTGCAAAATATTGAAACTGAAATTATTTTCTGTTTATATACACTAAAATCTACCAAAAAAGTGATGGGCCATTAGTTTTAGCTGATCTTCCCTCCTATGACACACCCTAATATACAGTGGTCCCTCGGTTAACGAGATTTCGGTTAACGAGTTACCTTCCATAAGATTCTTAACTTCGGTTAACGAACAATCCCTCGATTAACGAGTTTCTTACGAGCCGACCTGAACATGTTTTCGCTTGCATTTGGCGGTCCACAAGCTGTAGTATTAGTCCGCCAATACAGTAATCGGTTCTAGGGCTTAAATTCCTTACCATTTTAGCAAATATCAAGACGTTTATACTATTCAATAATTTTAAAAGTTTAATATTAAATTTTTTAGTCATTTTAACAATTATTGAACATAATTGAAGGTAATGAAACTAGTTTTATGCGCACCATCCAGACTCTCAACACACCATACAGGCGTCAGTCTTTGTGTCTTTTCAGGGGAGGTAACATCTTGCTTGAGACTCTCTTCAACTAAACACTTTTTTTCTGTGTTTGCAAGCAAATTATTGGTCATTTTGAAATTTATTTTACATATTGACAATATATAATGCAGTGCAGTGTTGATTTAAAGAAAATAATCTTAAATTACACCAAGAAAACTAAAATTTTATGGGTGAAATGGCGCCATGGGGTGACTTCTCTTCCACCCCAATGCCTTCTCTTCTCCCTTCTCCTCCACCCCCATTCTAATTCCCATCATCATCATTATCATCCAGGAGCCTTCTACATACACACCTCAAAGTAAGTGTATTTTTCTACATTTTTTGTTGAATTTTGGCAATTTTCGGTGAGCTGGAACCAATTACCCAAAAACCCATTGAAACAAACTGTATAACAGTTTATGCTTTGTTTTTGCTTTCGGCAGGGCCGCAACATCATCAACGCAGCTCAACCAGCCCTAGTTGTAGCAGCAGCAAGAAACAACGCAAGAGCATTGATTTGGAGGAGAAGCAGAAAATAATAAGACAGAGTGACGGCAGTAAATCTGTGAATTCTATCGCACGTGATTTCGGCATGTCGCACTCTACGATCACGGCGGTAAAAGGATCAGCTTCACTGAAGGCAAGAAGATTGACCAAGTATCGAGAGGGGCCGATATCAAATACGGAAAAGATGCTGATGACCTGGATTGAAGACCAGACTCAAAAGCTAGTCCCACTCAGCACGCTAACCATCACGGCCAAAGCAAAAAGTTTGTTCGAGATGTTGAAGCAACAAGCAGGAGCCGACTACGACAGAGAGTTTTCCGCAAGCTCTGGCTGGTTTAAGCGCTTCAAACATCGCTATGGGCTTCATAACGTCAAGGTCAGTGGTGAGTCAGCGAGCGCGGATTCTGCAGGAGCAGCGGAATTCATCGAAACCTTGGACAACCTTATCGTCGAGGGAGGATATTTGCCCCAGCAAATAATTAATATGGACGAAACTTCCTTTTTTGGAAGAGGATGCCCAAAAGGTCATTCATACACAAGGAGGCCAAGTCGATGCCAGGCTTTAAGGCATTCAAGGACCGAGTGACTGATGTTGGGGGGAGGTTTATCCAAGTTGAAACCTTTTGTGATGTGGCATAGCGAGAACCCCAGGGCTTTTAAAAAAGTCAACAAACGTACGTTGCCAATCTATTATAGAGCCAACCAAAAGTCATGGATGATGCAAGCATTGTTCCAGGATGCCCTTCTCAACTGCTATGCTAGTGACATCGAAAGATACTGCACAGAAGAAGGGATAGAGTTCAAAATTTTGTTGATTTTGGACAATGCTCCAGGTCACCCCCCGCCTTTCATTGGTGACCTCTACCCCAACATCAAAGTGGTTTTCCTGCCACTGAATACCACCTCGTTGATTCAGCCTATGGATCAAAGGGCTATTGCAGCTTTCAAGTCCTACTATCTCAGGAGGACCTTTGCAATGGCTATTTATGCAACGGAGGATGACGAGAAGACACTGAAGAAGTTTTGGAAAGAATTTAACATGTACCATTGCATGAAGAACATTGCTTGGGCCTGGGATGATGTCACAAAACAATGTATGAACAGAGTGTGGAAAAAAAGTCTTGAAGAGATATGTGCACAATTTCAGGGGTTTTGAGACGGTCACAGAACTTGAGAAAATTACAAACAATCTTGTGAACATGGCAAACAAGCTGAACCTCGGCGTGGACGACGACGATATAGAAGAACTGCTAGACGTTGTTCCTGAAGAACTAACCAACGAAGAGTTGTTAAAGTTACAGGAACACTGAATAGCTGAAGAAGAGGCAAGGGAAAAGGAAAGTGAGGAGGAGGAGGAGCTACCGAAGAAGTTCACTGTAAAGAGGTTATCTAAGTTCTTCGCCGACCTTAACACTCTGCTGAGAAGTGCCAAAGAGATGGACCCCAACACCGAACGCTTCTCACTCATAGAGAGGAATGCACATGCAGTGTTTGCCGCATATCGTCAAATCTATGAGGAAAAAAAAAGCTGACAAAACAAACAACGCTCGACATTTTCATCAAAAAAACAAGTCATCCCAGCAACAAACCTCAGCCAGGCTCTTCACACGCTACAGATATCGTCATTGAAGCTGCAACTGAGGAACCTGTGTATGAAATTGATAGCAGTGACAGTGATGTTTATGATCCAGGAATGGCTTAAAAATTGTGTAATGTATATGTAAATTGTAAACTGTACAGTACTTAAGTTAAATAAGTGAAATGTAAAATTTAATTTTCAAAGTAAAACCTAAGAAAAGTCCATCAGATTTAAGGATACGATACTGCATTTACTTCTCAATCAGTGAACAGTGTAGTGTTTAATTTTACTTTACTACCTGTATACTGTACTGTACCTGTTTTACTGTATGTATATTATAACTATTTTTTTACTACAATATATTAGCAAATGTTGACATTGTTATTTTATTAGCCTTCCTAACCTCTGTGTTTCATTAGTTGTGTACGTTATCCAGTGAATTTAGTCAATATTATACAGTACAAGTACACTGCAATATTTCACATATACGTAAGTATAAATACAAAGTTTACTATGCGATGTTCAAACGTTCATTTCGGTTAACGTCACGTTTCCAAGAACGTATCTAGGACGTTAACCGGCGCATGACTGTATTGTATTTCAGA